AGTTCTCTACTGAGGGTCCCAGCACAGGGCTTGGGGGCTGGCCTCAGAGCGCCCACTGAACATGCCTGGGAAAAAGAAAAGCAAACTAGAGCTCACCCCCACTTTGTTTGTACCCCATCCTCTGTCCTTTGGACACTTGAGTTCTGACCCTGGCCAGCCTTCCTCCTGGGTGTCCTTAACTGCTCCCCCATGCTCTGTGCCCTCTGTGGTCACTGGCCATTCGGGACCTGAGTATGAGGCCCTCAGTCCAGTCATGGCTTGGTACTGAACTGCCTGCTCGACACGAGGTGAGGGGAACCCTGAGTGGCATCCTCTCCCCCAGTGTGTTACCCACAGCTCCTATGGGTGCTGGTGGATAGACTCTGAACTGGGGCTCCTTTCTCTTTTCTAGGTTTGGTCTGTCAATAGCTGAGCCTTTGAGTGTGTGTGAGTGTGTGTGTGTGTGTGTGTGTGTGTGTGTGGTGTTGGCATGGTGTTTGTATGAGTGCCTATGTGTGTATGTATGCATGTTGGCACGAGTGTATCTGTGGGTGTGTATGTGGGTTGGTGTGCGGGTATGTGTGTGCATGTGTGCCCCCAAGCTCTCAGCCCCTCATTGGGGGGCTACAAGCATCAGCTCCACCTGTCAACTATATTCAGAGCTTGCTTTTTACATAATTTTTGGGGGTATGAGTATTTTGTCTACATGTCTGTCTTACACCATGTGCACACAGTGGTGGAGGTAACCAGAAGAGGGCTTTGGATCCCCTGGGACTGGAGTTTACAGATGGTTGTCAGCTGGCATCTGGGTGCTGGAAGTGAACCTGGGTCCTCTGCAAGAGCAGCCCCCTCCCTCCCTTTTTTTTAAAAAAAAAGACCAGATCTCATTAAATTGCTTCGGCCGACTTTGAACTCACCATCTCCCTGCCTGTCTCTGGAGTCCTGGGATAACAACACCGCACTATGGCACCATGACTTCTGCTCTGGGTATGCTGTACCCCTCTCCCTGCTGCTCCCAGCCCTGCCCCTGCCCCTTGTCCGCATGCCCTCTTGCTACTGTTCCCCTTCCTTCAGCATTTTCCCCTCAGGACCCACTCGGGATAAAGGGGAGGCGTGTGGATCAATGTCTTCCGTGGTTGTCCCAGGTGTCCCAGCCTCTCCCTGCAGAGGAGGAAGGCCGGGCTGGGTGGGTCTCAAACCCGTCAGGCAGGTTTGCTCTTCCCTGAAGTCTTGGCATAGACCAGATCCCTTATAGGGGCCCAGCAGGATCTGGCTGTGTGCCCTGGGGCCGAGAAGACAGGAGCCCCGGGTACTGCTACAGCAGCCTCTAGACATCTGGGGACACCAAGAAAGAAGCTGGCGCAGGTGGGTGCTGATGGAGGGCAGATGTCTGGGCTGGGTGATGCTGGCTGTGGGGAGGAGCAGTGTGTGTGTGTGTGTGTGTGTGTAGAGAGAGAGGCTGGGAGATGAGGTGGGGGCAGGCATAGCTTCTGCAGCCGCTCCTGCCTCAGTGTCCCCTTCTGCACCGAGGAAAGCCCTGATGGAGCTTGAGAAAGAGGGATGTGAAGGTGGCAAAGTGGAGAGGGGAAGAGGTAGTGCCAGACTGAGGGCCCCACTAGGGGAAGTGGGTAGAGAAAACAGAAGTGGCCAGGGGGACTCTGAGAGGAGGAGAGGCTTCGGTGGCAGCCTGGGAACACTGGGACTTTCCAGAGTGTGGGGAAACAGGAAGTGAATCCCTGCTGGGCCAGGCGGGCCCACCTGCTGCTCAGTACCTGCCCAGGGCTGGGTCTCCGTCAGCGGGAAGCTGGGGCTGGGGTGCGCTTCGGTAGAAGCTGAGGGCTCAGAATGTCTTAGCAATGGCTGGCAGGGTTTTCTGTCCTTAGCAACGATGAAAGGCTGGACAGAGCTGTTCAGGGGGAGTGGGTGCCTACCTAGAGGAGGCTTTAACCTCTAGAGTCCCAGCCCCTCCCCCAGGGACACAGAAAGCAGACTTGGTGCTCCATGCTTGTCACCCAGGATTTGGAAAGCGGTGGCAGGAGGGCCTGGACTTCAAGGTCATCTTTGGTTACTTTTTGAGTTTGGTGTTGGCTGGAGTGTACGAGACCCTTCCCAAAACAAAACAAAAGAGAACAGAAAAAAATCAACAGAGCTGGACAGTGGTGGTGCACACCTTTAAGCCCAGCACTCTGGAGGTGGAGGCAGGCGGAGCTCTATTAAGAGTTCAAGGCCGGCCTGGACTGTGGCGCAAATTCTAGGACAGCTGAGGCTACATAGAGAAACCTTGTCTTGAAATCCCTCCCTCCAAAAAACCCCCAACACTTTGACAACGTAGTTGAACCAACCTAGCAGTTAGCTAGGGTTACTATATGTTCATTAATTTAGGGATAAGAGAAGAGAGGCTTGGAGGAGTCACACGGCTGGCTTTCCTGGGTCGCACAGCAAGTCCGTGGTACTGCATCTAAAACTGGGCCATGAACTTAGAGCCAGGCCCCTGTTGCTCTCTGAGGCTGACTCCCATGATTCCTCGGAAATCCCCAAATCTGACTAATTCCCAAGCCATCCCCAGCTTGGTGGATTCCTTCAGGCTGACAAGGTTGGATACACCCTGGCCTGGGCAAACTGCCCCCATTTGAGTCAAGATTACCCATAGTGACCTCGTGGCTTCCCATGGTGGACGTGGCAGTGGTCACTGCTATGCCTTTCCTTAGATGACCAGGGGCTAACTTCAGGACAGCCCTCTGCTTCCCTTTCTTGCCCTGGGAAAGGCAGGTGACACCAGTCGCTATCTGAGAGGATGAATGTGAGAGACCTGGGCCTCCCTGTGGGTAACAAACCTGACCGGGACTCTTCTCTCTGTGTGTGTGCCTGTAGGTCAGAGGTTAACCTGTTTCTCAGAAACCCTGCCTCCGCCGCCCCAGTGCGGGGCTTATGCTATAAACACACGCCAACACACCTGGGTCTTTCACATGGGCGCGGGCATCGACCTCGGGCCCTCAGGCTGGCAAGGCGAGCACTTACCCACTGACCAGCCCCTACCCACTACACCAGGCCTTTGAACAGCTTTCTTTTTGTCAGTGTGACAAACTCTGCCTGTGGCCTGCTCCCTCAGGGCCTGTGTGAGGGTGTTTAGTCCTGGCTTTCTGTCCCCTAGGCAGGGGTTTCCTGGGGGCACAATAAAGAACCAGGTCCTCAGTGTTGTGTGCTTTTAATCCCAACATTTGCGAAGCAGAGGCAGGTAGAGTTCTGAGTTCAAGGCCAGCCTGGTCTGCATTGGGAGTTCCAGGACAGCCAGGGCTACATGGAGAGAAAACAGCATTCACAGAGTTCATCAGATTATTTATTTATAAGCAAGTCTAATCACACAGGAGGCTTCCGTGTGGTAGTAGCTCTGGGTCTGAATTCGCGATTTCAGCTGGGAAAGGGGATGGTGGCTGAACTGGCTTTTACCCCCACTGCCGTAGGTGTGTGCTGAGAAGCTAGTGTGGACATGAGAAAGGATGGTGGGCTATGCCGTTAACACGAGCCCGTGTGAGGTGGAGGCTGAGTTTTAGGCCAGCCAAGGTTATAGTGAGACTTTGTCTAAAAAGGCTTGTTCTACATGGTTCTGAGGTAGCTGGAGATTGCTCGGGTGTAAGAGGCTGGTGGGGTCCGAGGTTGCGAGTGTGCCGGGCCAGGTAAGGGGAAACTGAGGGCCAGACTGTCCAGCGGGGTTAAGTTCGATCCTTGAGGTCCGAGCACGGTGAAGGGGTCCCGGTCCCTGCAGCACCCAAGCTCCGCCCCAACCCCACGAAGCCCCGCCCCAAAGGCCGCGCCCCCTCGCAGGAGCGGAAGTGCGCGCCGCCGCCAAGATGGCGCCCAGAACCCGGAAGTGAGCGGCAGCGGCTGAGAGGCTCCGGTGAACTGAGGCGCCGCGGGCTTCGCGACCGGGTCTGAGGTGAGGCGCCGGCCCGAGACTCCGCTGTGACCCCCTCCGCGACTCCCACGCGACTCTCGTGGACAGGCCCGGGTTCCGGGGTTCTCGCGGGCGTTCTGGGGCTGCAGGGCGGGGGCGAGCACGGAGGAGAGTGCGGCACCGCGACCTCTGACCCTTCCCGCGACCCCCGACCCTGCCCCCAGTCGCGACCCTTGTCTCTCTCCGTGAAGTTTGACCCGGCCCCCCGCGTCGACCTCGGAGTCTGTCTGCCCCCGCCCCCGTCCTGCCGCGACCCCTGACCCCGCCCCCGCCGTCAAACCCCTAGACCGGTCTCCGTCTCCGTAGGGACCTCTCACTGCCAGTTTGACCCTTCACCCCGGGAACCCTGAGTCCTTTAGCGACCACCGTGGTGCGTCTTTGACATTGACTCCAACTTCTGTGACCCCCGTGCTTTGGGCGAACCCACATTCCCGCTTCTGCCGATGAGAACCTTCCTTCCGCGGGAATCTTGACCACTCCTGGCCTTGACCCTGGTCTTGGGTCTTGGGAGGTACCCCTTTCTCCTTCCTGCACCTCGAACCTCCTATAGTCTGCTTTGACCCTTGACCCCAACCTCTCGCTTACCCTCTGTCAACAACTGAACCTTAACTTCGCCTTGGGGCCCCCATTTTCCTAGTGAACTTTAACCTCACACTGGGGACCCCGTTCTCCCAGTGAACCCAGGCCCTGCCCTCTGAGACCGGGTTTCTTCCCTGGGAACCTTGACCACAGCCTCCCCCGTGACTTCTGCCCTTGACTCCGGTCCTGGGAGTGAAACCCAGCCTCCACCTTGTGCCGTGATCCCTCGATCCCAAGCTCCCTCATGGCTTCTAACCTTTTCTTTCTGCTGTTTTCTATGCCCCGTGTTCTTTTGGACCCCTGGGTTTTTCTGGTGGATCTTTGACCCTGAAGTACCATGGGGTATCTTTGTCCATTACCCCCCCACGTGTTGGCCCCAGCCCTGGGGGTTCCCAGGACTCCTGGCTCTCCAGGAGGAGCCGCCTCACTGTGTGGATGACAGTCATCGCAGACCCTAGCCTCCCTCATGTTGTGCTGCTCTTGTTTGGGGGGGGCGGTGATAGGAGTAATGTCAAACAAGACTCCAGGGAGCTGAGGGATGAGAGTGGGTGTCACCACCCCAAGTACTGGAAGTGCACTGGAGGGACATGGCTGGACTAGCCTGGTGGTGAGGCAGGGACCTCAGGGTGTCTCCCTAGATGTCATGATTAACTCTCAAAAAAAAAAAAAAAAAAAAAAAAAGGCATGAGGCCTGAGTGTGTCAAGTGACCGGGACATCCCCCGGCTCTGCTTCCCGGAATGCCTGTGAGTCCCGCCTGCTCGGGAGCGGCCTTCCTGCCCTGGCTGTCTGGTGCCAACTACTGTACCCTGCAAGTGGCGAGTGAGCATGATGCCTGGCCTTGGGAGTGGTATAGATTGCTGGCAGTTTGGTGAGTGGTAAGTTTCCCAGTGTGGTGAGGGGCATGGAGCTGAGTCGGGAGCGCAGCAAGCATAGCCAGGAGGCTGGTGTGACTGGGACTGGCTACTCATAAAGCTCTGTCGTGTGCAAAGGGGGATATTTGAAGGGACAAGGCACATAATTTAGTGGGTACAAAGTTGCCCTTAACTCAGAGGCCTGGTGGCCGGTTTTCCTCCCTCTGTGACTGACCCTGTTAGGGACCTGCTTCAGTGGCTGGAATCTACCTGGGAGGCCAGGCTGGACCCTCTGTTCCCCCACTGGGCCCACACGTGGATTTTTCCAGAGGCTGGCTCCTGGAGATGGGTGCTGAGGCCCTGCCAGCCCAGCCCTCCCTACCCCGCAGCTGCTCCTGAAGCTTTCTGCTCTGCTCTGCTATGCTTTAGGGAGAAGCTGGGCACAGGTTGGAGTGAGCAGCCTGGCCTCACTAGCGGCCGCTTCTCTGAGCTCTGGAGTGTGGGCAATCTTGCATGGAAGTGGGTGTAGGTGCGTAAGAGGGAAATTGAGGTGCTGAGAGCTTACACTCGCCCTGTGTATCGCTGCAGCTCACATGCCTGCCCATGCAACCCTGGCTTGATACGCCAGAGCCCCGCGAGCAGGGCCGGCAGGAAACACTGACCCAGAGATAGAATAAAGAGGTGACTGTCCTTGCCCTCTCCAGGGGCCTGGAAGGATAAGACCGGCTGCTTCCCTGCTTGGGATGTTGTGATGTAATCTGAAATTGGGACTGTGGGGAGTTTTATGTGGGGGTAAAGGATGGTCCTCGTCTCCCGTTGGCAACATGGCCCCTAGACTGGGTCTGTGTGCGATACTCTGGACTGCGCGAGAACTCGGTCAGATCTGTGCTGTGTGCATGTGTGCGTTTGCATGCCAGTGTCCCTCTCACTCACACGGGTTCACATGTGTGTGCTGTTCACTGTGCACAGTCTGCAACTCTGTTCACATCTTCCATAACTAAGGGTCCTGTGGTAACACGGGGATGATGGAGGATATGTGTGGTGAGTATGGGACACAGTCTGAGGCCAAGGTCACCCAGGTCATCCTGGATTGTCCCCCTGCATACTCCCAGCTGGGGAGTGCCCCCCTCAGGAATGCCAAGTCTGCCCCCTGCAAGGACTTGGGGTGAGGAACTGACTTTCTCCAGTACTACTGTGGACAGTGGCCGCCACCCCTCTAGTTACCCTGCTTCATCCCTGGGAGAGGTGGGCACCTCTTTTGGTTGTGTGACTATTGTCTTTGTGTTGTGGGCACTTTGTGCTTAGGACAATGTGGAGGAACCTCAAGGACGTGGTGTTCAGACCCCAGACACAGAAGGTCACACATGCCCTGTGGTGGGAAGTATCCAGAGCAGGAGAATCCAGCAACAGGAGGAGGGTTTGTAGGGCCTGGGGTAGGGAGGTGGGGATGGAGTGACTGCTTATGGGGACAGCTCTTCCTTTGAGCAAAGATCATAGAATGTTCCAGAGCTAGACAGAGGTGATGTTTGTGTGACTTAGGATATAGTGAGCCCCAGCGCATCACAGACTCTGCCAAGGAACTGTTGCCCAAAGCAAGACCAGTTGTGTCCCCCCAGAACACAGGCTTGGGAATGGGTCATAGGTCTGGTTCCTTGCCGGTTCACCTCAGGGACACCAGAGAATGGCTGGGAACCTTGTCCTGGGCCCCTTGGAAGAGGGCAGGCACAGTGACCCGTATGGCCGCAGCTCAGCTCTGTCTTTAGAGGGCAGCTTCCAGGAGCCAGACACAGATGCCATGGTGGGAACCCGTGTGCCAATACTGGTGTGTATTGCTCCCAGTAGTGGGCCCGTGTGCTCCATCCACACCTGCATTGTCAAAGGGATAGGGAGGGTGCCCCTGGCCTATGAAGAGCAGCCCATCAGGCCCGGACCATATGCTGAGGGTCTAGGGACAGCCGAGAGATCCTCTGTGCTGGGGAAGATTGGCTCGGCCACCGTGTGCCCAGACTGAGCAGAGAGGAGATGGACAGTAGGTCAAACAGCACTCGCAGGTGGCTTCGGGTCTGCCCTGCCTTGTGTCCTGCAGACTTGTGGCGCCCACATCCACACGCTGCTGCTCTGAGAGAAGCAGATTTGGAGGTCCCTCGTCAAGACAGCCTGGGCCAGGACCAGTGCAAACCCAGCACAGACTGAAACTGAAAGGGGCAGTGGCTGAGATGGGCCAAGGTCCTGCTTCATTTCAAAAGTGACAGCGCTGATCCTAGAGGAAGGCTGGTCATTCGCCTTTCCCGGAAGTCTCCCCACCCACGGGGGTCAAAGGCCACAGACATAGGACATGAGGGTCCTAGGAGGGCAGCAGATCTAGGTCTTTATGGTGGTGACTCACTGTGACAAGGGTGGGGTGACTGTCCCAGGCGTGCCAGCGGGTTAGAGAACAGCGGCTACCCACCCCAACTGCTCCCTCTTTATTTCTGCAGCCTAGGGTGGCCTCGTGAACATCAGGTAAACCAAGGCAGGCCTGGACTCCCTGGGCAGTGGTTTGGGTTCTGGGTCCTGGGGATGGATGCTGTGGGAGTCCAGTGTGCCTGGTGGGGACTGGGAGGGGGGTTAAGAGCAGCTGGAATGTTTTGGGTTGGGCCAGTGAGGGTTCCGTGTGTATCCCAAGTGCTGTGAATTGGGGTATCTGGCCATTGGGGTTTGTGTCTGAGCCTGGCTAGAGGTCAGCTGAGAAAACCTGTTGATGTCTCCTGGGAACAGACGGCCTCTTAGATTTTGAAGCTCGGTCTTCTGAGACCTAGGTAGGAGTCTCAGGGATAGCATTAGGGGTGTCCCAGAGTTGAGTTGACATTTTTACTTTGGCTTTGTGGGAACTTGACAGCACCCAGCATTAGGGGTTGGGTGTGACATCCTGTGTCGCCCACTCTAGATAGTCAGGGGCTGCCACCCCAAACTCTGATCCAAGTCTTCTCCAGAAAAACCAGCCTGGCTGGATACCCAGGGCCACATTCCTTTCTCCTGCCCCCTCCTGCCATGCCTGGGCCTCCCCAGTGTGCCCTGCCTACCTGTTCCTCCACTGGAGGGCAGGGCTGGCTGTTGAGCTCCTGAGAAGCTGTGGGGCTCCAGATACCCCAGCAGCTGTCACTGCTTGTGAATCCCTGCTGGTCATTCGAAAGTTTCAATTTTGGGGCGTGTGGCTGGTCTTGGGTGGAGTTGGGATCTCAGGTCTGGCCTACAAAGCCATTAGAATAGCCAGCCCTGGGGGCATGCTCTCTTTCATGGTCAGGACCCTAGCTCTGAGGTTTTGGTAAGAGTCCTGGGTGAGAGACTGCAGTTCAGTGGTTAGAGCACTCACTATACACACACACACACACACACACACACACACACACAGCCCTGGGTTCCATTTCCGGCACCATATAAACCCGGTATGTGGTATACACTCTAGAGTTCTACTGAGTTCAGGGCCACAGTCTTCCTTGGTGTGTCTGAGTGGCCGTGGTGTTCCTGGGTCTTCACAGGCCTCTCTTTTACTTACCTACAGGCAAGTGAGTTGACTCTGGGCAAGTCTGAGACCCCAAGTTGGGACAAACTGGCTGCCCTGCTGGCTGTGGAATTGGGGACAGCAGGAGTCCTCTGGATTCCAATCCTACCTACTGACAGCATTGACAAGGAGGCCCCTGCCTTGTAGCGCTGGACTTACAGTCTCCTCATAGCAGAGAGAAAATGGTGTGCCTTGGGCTGCTACAGTGTCAGTCAAGCCTCCCTGTCACTAGTGGGGAGCATAGGGCCTCACTTACACAGACACGCTCTGCTCCTGTCCCTGCAGCCCATGTCTAAGCCACAGCCAGCCCCCATTTTCTTCTGGACATTGAGTGACCACCACTGGGATGAGGTTGTTGTTGCTGACATTGAGGCTGGACCAAAGGGACCCAAGGACAGTGGTGGTCACCGGGACATCACTGACCCAGTGACAGCCAGCCCCAGCCACCATTCGGGGTGGCCCGTGTACATCACCACCTCAGGACGGTGCGTTCAAGGCCTGCTTAGAGTAGGTGAGGCCCTGCCCCAGTCAACAGAGAGCACAACGCTGTACTTAAGCATGAGATGAGGAGTCCCAGCCACCTCTCTGCCCTGTCATTCTCTGCACCTCCTGTGCTCCTGTGCTTCGGCCCCTGCTGGCCCCAGCCCCTGCTTCCACTCCCATGGTCAGGATGCAGAGACAGGCAAGCAAGGCATTCTCCCTACTCATTGTCTCCTCCTGGGCTTTTCTCCAGCAGCATGGTGATTGGCTAAGTCATCCCCAGCCTGGTCATTCTCTGTGGCCCCCAGCAGTGGAGTCAGACTAGGGCCTGAACCCCATGCCCTCTCCCAGAGGCACAGTCATAGTCAGTTGGGGTGCCAGGCACTCCCACCAGACCTGTCCGCAGCATGGACGTTTGTGTTTTTAGTTGTCAGCATGGGCATTCTTGTGGTCTTTTTTGCCAAGGGCGAGAGGGTCTCCAGCCGGGTCACCTCATCCCTGCCCCTGAGCGCACAGCTATCGCCCCATCCCAGCATCTAGTCCATGGGTAAAGGCTTCTGTCCAGCCAGAGAGGATAAGCACTTCAGACGCCTGCTCCAGGCTCTTCCTTGAACCTGGCACTCTTGTCTTCTGACGTTCCCTCCTGCCTACCCCTGTCCCACAGAAGGTCCTGGAAGGCAAGGGTGGGCTGATCCATTGGAGGTGAAGGTGTTGTGTTAAGCCTCCATACTATGACCTCTTGAGGAACCCTGGGGAGGGCTGTGGTGGCCCTGTGACCACTGTTCCTCAGTACCTAAGTACAGCCAAGAGTGAGGGCTTGCAAGGGCCAAGTCTAGCCTGCACACTTTTCTCTTGAGTGGGATCACATGAGATTGGTGGAGGGGCCCTGCAGGCCAACTTAGTGGCTGAGGTGTTGGCTGAGGGGTCAGAACTGGAAACAGAAGGTATAATTCACATGCACACCCCTGCCTTTTGCCTACTCCCCAGGTACTCTGTTCCCATG